CAATACCAAACTTCCCTTCACCAACATCGAAATTCGCAAACCCCAAGGCAGGCCTGCCACCTGAAGCCTCGGAAACTCCAGCGGCCATAAACGCAAATTCAATCCAGGCCCTCCAAATCCCAAACTTACGTCAGGCAAAGCAAAAAAAGAAGCGTAAAACATCCAAAGATGTGGAGGACAACAACCACACCAACCCACCACCCCCAACCATCTCCCACCGCCAAAAACCGCAACTCAATACCAAAGGAAAAAATACCGATCTCCTATCAGCCTTATGGATATGGACTGGGAGACGTATGTATTTTAATTATGCACTTACTTATTATCATTGTTTATCAATAGTATTGCCATTGCTTTTAGAAAAAATCCACAGGTATGCAGGACCTAAAGATCCAATTTACCAAATCTACACCACCCCAAATCGAAGAATCATTGCTTCAAGGACGTGGTATTGGCTGGAGGGACGAGCCATCAGTTGAGCCCAATCTTCCGGATCCCCAAAAGGAAAGTAGCAACCGCTCAGAATGCCTGGAGATGGTTAACATGAGGAATGAATTGAGATATCAATTTGCTTTATCTGAATGGATAAATAAAGCATTCTTACCCCAATCAGTTGAAGTTGCAGAAAAAGCGGTGGAGTACCTCCTGGCAAATGGATCTGGATTGGTGCGTGAAACCTTGCGTTGTGAATCCAATAAGATTCTTGCTTGTAAGTATTATTCTCTTAACTTATATCTTCTCAAAATAATTGGTAACTGATTTTGCTGATTTCATTACATTAGCACGTACCATCAGTTTGAACACCCAGGTTACCACCCACCGTGACAAGAAGAATGCCCTTTTATTTGACGCCGACTTCTTCTTTGGTAATCACCTTGGAGGCAAACTCTTGCTTCCCTCTTTGGGTGTGGCATGTCATGGCCTTCATGGCTATTCTTTCCATGGACCGCTCCGAATTCTCTTCCATGGGGTGGCCAAATTCTATTTCCCTCCAGATCTGAAGGAGAAGCCACGTCGATATTCAGTTGCGTTTTGGAGCAGAGAGAGTTCTTTCTCTGCAGTTGGGCGATATACTGCTTACAAGGACAAGGAGAAAAAGGTATGATGAACATTGTGTTTCCAGTTTGTAACATAATATCAACAAGTTGCTTATATTATATACATCAAACAGGTCTTTAACAACCATGAATATTGGCTTCCAATCTATCCAAAATATGATGGTAAATCTGTTGAGACCATTTATTCTACACAAAAAACTTCCACCAGGGAAAGATGTGGTAAAAACAAAGATGTTGCCAATGCAACCCCTCCCCCCCCCATATAAAAATAAAAACAAACACAAAAAAAAAGCTTCCTAATTGAATGAATCAGATTCATCTCACCTTTGCTCCATTTGTTCTGTCCCCAGTGGTTTTTTTTTTCTTTTATTTATCTCAGTCCAGTCACTTTTTCTCATTTTCTGTATTTGTTCCTTTCCCAGTGGTCTTGTTTTTTTTATTCATTCAACTCAGTCCAGTCAGTGTTTGCTTAGTGTTTCTTGCAAGAAATCATATATTTTATTAAAAAATAAGTTCCCATTGGAAGCCACAATCATATGGAATCAAAATTAAATGAGATAGAAATTTTATCAGGAGTGAGGAAAAAAGAGTAAAATTTAAAAGGAGTGACATGGGAGAAAGAGAAAAAATAAGAAAAGGTGAGACAAATTTCAAAAAAGTCAACAAAGGGGCTTATGATGAAGTAAAAAGAGGGAAACATTTATTTATTCTACAAGTTGAACTTTGAAGGCCCCACTTTGAATATCTGCTAGCCACAGGCGCTTTTGTTCAAGTTTTAAACCTTCAAAGCCGAGCTTTAATAATTCCAAACTGAGGGTTGATTGCTCAGATCTAACAATCTCCAAACGACTATCGAGTTTTTTTAACCCAGCAGCTGGGTCTTTGGTTTTTGGAAATACACACTCTTTACTTTTAACAGGGAGTCCCCTTGCTGAAGCTACAGATTGGTCAAATTATGGTGTGTCAGAAAATGCCTCCAACATGTTCAAAAAAAATAAAAACTTACCCAGTGTAGTATTTAAAGCCTCCCTGAGCTTTTCCTTGAGTTCATCCGAAGGTTTTTTCTTTTTTTTGACAATGGATACACCAACACTTTTCTCCAACACTTCTTGAAGTTCTCTGGCTTGGCTATAGGCTTCAAACTGCGCCTTTAAAGTCCATCTACTTGCAGTAATAGCCAGCCAACCTGCATCATTAGAGTATTCGTGACAGAAACTGTGTGCGCCAGGAACTCGTGAAGATATGAGAAGATAATACGTAGAGTTGTAGAACTTTGAAACTGTAAAGATCTAATCAATTTTGAACAGAGTTCAGCATTTATCAAAACTTCTTGTCATCTACTCTAAACTCACTTCTGAATTAAGTCTTTGAAGATTGGATTCAGCCTGTTTTAGTGCTGTGCTTGTTTTGTTTTGGGATATTGGTCCCTCGGCAGCACAAACGGCATTTTAACCTTCTCATGATTTACCA